GGCTGAATCCTCAGTTGTCAGTTTAGCTCTTAAGAAAGAGACTAACATGGACTGCAGTCATGTGTTTGCACTTGGCAACGGCGATATGTACTGACACACTGCTCATCGTCTGTTTTACAGAGCGTAATATGTTCAGTCTGGCTGTTTTTGATAATCTCCCTGAGGTGATGAAGTTATCAGGTAAGACAGGGATGGAAACAGACAGGGAGAATGTTGTCTTTCATTTGATTTCCTCCAGCGGCTGAAGACGGGTCACCCCTGTTCTCTCTGATGTGTTTTCCTGCGAGTTGCCGTGGCAATGAGCTTCCACGAGCGGGCGACGGTTTGCGAGCGAGACGGTGAGGCATGTCTGGATGGCATCGTCTTCGTGGCTAATTCTCTCTGACTGACAGCATGTCAGTTCCGTGCGATTCCAGTGTTCAGGGATTACAAGGAGGAGGGAGTAATCCGCAATTTCACAAATTCCAGCGAATAATCGCAGCAGTGTTTGGGTCACGTAATGCAGCGTAATATTTCCCCCTGACTAATTTGTCAGAGGTGAGCCAGTCTGAATTCTGTTTCCAGCTCCTTGCATGCTTTAATTAAATATCTGAGTGTTAAATGACTGTGGGAAAATGACTGCTGGTGTCATCGCTGTGAGCCGGTCAAAAATGCGCGGCGTTGTCGACATGGCTATTCGTGTCGCCCTGTTATTGGAGAATTAATAAGGGTGATTGAGTTTCAAGGGCTTTCCTTTATTATTCTTTCTTTCTAGCGCACAAACGGAGGTATGACATGTTTTCTTCAGCCGTCAGATTCAACAAAGGCCTTAAAACAAGTGTTCGGGTTGGATATGAAAAGTCTCCTGAGAGCGGGACGTTTAGCGACCTTTCCGTGTGGAGTTTATGCCACTAAAAAACTCAAACTGACGTGTGAAACCCAGATTCAAAGCCCGGCTTCTGTTCAGTTCTTCAATGCGCTTAGTTTTTAAAGCACTTTGGACGATGTTGTTTGCAAAGTCTGTGCATTTGCATTGCTGCGGGGCATGAAACTTCTTTATTTTTAGTGTTGCTTGCTAAGGCAGGCAAAAAAAACCCACAGATTGACACTGAAGGAGGGACTTGAACCTTATCTAGGGGACCAGGATATCAGAGACTCGGGGCGTTGAATTGGGGCATTAAGCATCCACCCACAACACCCTAGCAACCTCATAACACTGAACTAAACAACACTGAGGACACCTGAGTGAGGACCTGGCAACCACCCAGAATGCCCTGGCATTGTAGCATTGGGTTTTGCTACAGCACTCACATTTTCTTAAAATAATGTAAAACAAAAATGCTTTTATTTGTTCTCATTTTAGTTAGAAGAAATGTTAATAATCGAGTCAAATCAGTCATGCCTTGCAATAAATTATATAGAGTTAATGAAATTACATTGTAAAAAAAAATATTTTTAATTTTTTTTTTTTAAATAACCTTGTTGATGTTGCTTAAAATAGTTCTTTGTCATATTTATGATCATTTGTTTGAGGGAGAATTTGATCAGAAATGTTTGCACTCATATTGAGATCTCAGAATTTTGGTTACCAATGTTATTTTAGTTTTTTTTTTCTATACTATAATAGTTTTTATTTATATTTTGATATTAATATTTATCTTTTATCTGATATATTTTCAGTTCTAATTTTAAAATTAATTAAAGTTTTAGTTTAAGTTAGTCATTTTATTATATGCTTTGTCATTTTTATAATTTTTATTTAGCTTTTTATTTTTATGTTTTATTACATTTTTATATTAATATTTATTTAGCTTTTTATTTTAGTCTGTTTAGTCATTTTAGTACTTCAACTTATTTTAACATTTCTAAAATAACATATAATGCTAATATGTATTTATTTATGTATGTATTTATTTTTTTATTTAAAGGTTTAGGTTTCTCATCTAATCTAATATGTATATTTTATTTTATTTCAGCTTTATTTCAGTTAATAAAAAATTATAATTTTAATAAACAATATAAGCACTTTTACTGTTCAGCATTAAAAGCAGAAGACTATTCAAAAGTCTTTATTTGCTTCATTTTAGTCTCATTGCTGCCAAGGAGAAACAGTTGAGATGTTAGAGATCTCATTTGTGATTTTTTTCTGAACCACTACACCAGCATGATACAATAATACACAGTAGTATCTGTCTCAAACCCTCCTTCCCCTTTGGCGGTGACCTGGAATGGACGATTCCTTCAGAACATGAAGGTGTGTGTATCTTGCTGCAGCCGGTGTTGGTTTATTCCCACTGGGGTCTATTACCAGACCTGCGTGTCACACAAAGGCCTGCGGCGCATAATTGTGACCCTGCTGTGACCCTAGTCCTTGTACCTAGTCCTTCGTACAATGCACCTTCCCAACAGAAAACAAACAGCAACAAAGGCAGCTCCTCCAGCAGGACGAGATGTTCCTCTGGTGCACGTTCTCACACATCGAGTGACAGACCGCGGGCCCTCCAGGGAGTCCCCCTCGCCTCATTTGGGCATATTCTCTCGTTGCAGGGCTCATGCTAAGCTCTTTATGAAGGCTTTCGCAAATTCTCCTTCTATTGTCTCCCAGAGAAACTCTTCAGCTGTAGTGTAGCATAAAAGAACCATCCTGTGAGAAAACGAAACTTTAGTGCTTCAGTGACATCGTAATTTAACCACAGAGGAGTCCGGTTTCATCATTGTGTTTGCGGTGGAAAACCCATAAACAGTGTTTAACTGTTTCACTGCCAGAATGGAATGTGAGATCTTTGGCTGCATGATTTGGAGAAAATTTGTTTGACTGATTGATTAAATGATTGAATTGTTTATTTATTTATGATTGGGATTTGAACCACCATTTGTTAGTTTATTTATTTATTTATCAGTCATAATTTGGATTCGTTTATTTATTTATTTGTCTTTGTTTCTTTCTTTCTTTTTGTCTTTCTATCTTTCTTTCTTTCTTTCAAATCATGATTGAAAAAAACACTAAAACTAACAATTTAATTTTCATCCTTAAAACACTGGATATTTTAAGTGTTTTAAACCTATTATAATATAATAATACTATTATTTTAATATAATATATATTATGTAAATATATAATATTATATATAAGCAATATTATATTATATAATATAATACATTTTAATTAGATTCATGCTTAGAACTAGAAACATTATGGTAAGAAGGATATAAAAAAACAAGATCTTGAACAATTTTGCATATCAAATGAAAATATCTTTTGTAAGGATATATCCTTGTTCTGCTGTCGGTAGAAAGAGTTTCACTCTTTATTAGTTTTCACACTTGATGCAAAAGTGAATAAAATGAAAAAGAACCCAGATCTTCTTCAATTTGTGTTGCATACAGTGGGAAAGTAATTCAAACTCAGGACAGCTCCCAGGATCGAGTTTATGTGGAGCATTATTAATTTGATTTCATTTTCAATTTAAATTTTTAATAACTGCACTATGCCATATCAGAGTTTTGATGTTATCTCTAATAATTGTGCAGCCCTTGTGTGTTGGTAAAGCTCAATTAGTGTACGCACAGAGAACAGTTAGAGCATTTATTCCCGTATGTTTCCTGTCTGCACCTGCTGTTCTTAATGATGTCGATTTGCATAAAGTTGTTTTATCCTCCATTATCTGCTAGCAGTGAGAGTGTGGTGACCGCTGGACGCTGTTGGTTTTCTCTCTGATTGTGCTCATCCACTCCTCATTTCCCATTTCAAACACGCATAGAAACACTCTCAACACATTATGTACAGTTCTGTGCTGTTCCCTTCACTTACCTCTCAACCACATATCAGAGAAACAGAGCTCTCTACCTCATAGTCCAAGTTCACATCTTTTAATGACATCCATCTCGAGTAATTGAAATCACAAGTGGACAGTGCTGAAAGCGAGTGTAAATGGAGTCTTAAAGACACATTGTGATCTGATCGAAATACTGTTCTTTTTTAACTTTTTACTTTCTGTTCACCAAAGAATCCTGAAAAATAAATGTATCACATTTCCCTAAAAATATTAAGCAGCACAGCTGTTTTCAACATTGATGATAATCAGAAATGTTTCTTGAGCAGCAAATCAGCATATTAGAATAATTTCTGAAGATCATGTGACACTGAAGACTGGAGTAATGATGCTGAAAATTCAGCTTTCATCACAGGAATAAATTACACTTTACAATATATTCAAATAGAAAACAGTTAATTTAAATTGTAATAATATTTCACAATATTACTGTGTTTATTGTATTTTTGATTGAATCAATGCAGCCCTAATGAGCATAAGAGACTTCTTTTAAAAACATTAAACGTCTTACTGACCCCAAATCTTTGAGTGGTAGACAAAAGACATTTTGTGTGAACATTTTTGGGTGAACAATCCCTTTAAATTAATATTTTTCATATACTAAGTGATGTACATAGTCATGCAAACAGCGATCCTGAAAATGCATGAAATGCATGATAATACCAGGTGTAAATGGGGCCAGAGAGAGCAAGAGCTTTCCCTCTATAGTGCAAAAGAGGCATGTGAACACAACATGTAATTCTACCTTTGCATTTCAGCAGCATTTGGTACCTAATTTAGGAATGCCAATATTAGACTTCCTGTAGTGAAATTGTGTGTCAGACGGAGCCAGCCGTTCTGTGAGGTGTCACTACAGCCGGAGGGAAATCACCCCTCTCACCCTCACATATCCATGACCAGAAACACCACGGGCAGATTAGTCACGCCTCGGCCCACCCGTATTTACATTAGCAGTGGATTTCACACCGTGATCTTTACTACACCTCTGTGTCTTACGGTCATGCATTTCAGCTGCTACAGTCCGATCGCCCCGGGTGGTCCTGCGGACGAACATTTGTAAGAGCTGTGCTTTAGAAAAATGAGCCGTGGTGCTTTTTTCTGACCAAAAAAGCACAGCTTATCGTGCATTTCAATCATGTGTGCTGACGCCTCTCTCTTTGTGGTTTTGTGTGTGTGTGTGTTTTCCAGAGGACCAGATCCCTCACGGCTTCCCCACCATAGACATGGGCCCGCAGCTGAAGGTGGTGGAGCGAACGCGCACTGCTACCATGCTCTGTGCCGCCAGCGGGAACCCTGACCCGGAGATCACCTGGTTCAAAGACTTCCTGCCTGTCGACATTAACAGCAGCGATGGACGAATCAAACAGCTCCGTTCAGGTAAAAAGAACTTCGTAAACACACAAAAGGCATTACAGCTTGAAGAATAAAGAAGCTGATTGCGAACATTGAAGCCGACGGCACCTGCTGAACGTGATTTTTTTTCTAACCTCTTCTTTTTTTAACCTCAATGTCAAAGACAATAGAGCACAAGATTTTTTTCCCCATTCATTCTTTCCATAGGGATTTCAGAAAATTCTTCAATAAAGAGTTCTAAGGCTTGAACCAAACCAGCTCAAAGATGAATCGCATTGCAACATTTGATTCAAAGCATTTGAAAGTATTTGAACATTTAAAAAAAGGCAACGGTACAAGACTGTGCACTTATTTCATGAGGGAATGATAGGATTGAATCAGAAACGACAATATAAAACAAAATTATTGCCTGTGTACTAGCGTTCAAAAGTTTAGGGTCTGTAAGATTTTTCTTTTTTAAAGAAATGAATACTTTTATTCAGCTAGTATTCATTAAATTGATCAAAAGTGACAGTAAAGACATTTATAATGTTATAAAAGATTTCGGTAGCACAGTCCTGTTACTCATGTACATACTATGTTCTTATTTTAGTAATTACAATAACTAGGTAAAAACTAGTTACTTACCCTGAACCTACCTCTAAACCTAACCCTGCCCATGTAGTTACCTTATATTACCAGTACTTTCTTGGTTAAGTACACTGTAAATACACATACTGTAAAATAAAGTGCAAAGATTTCTATTTTGAATCAATCTGGTTCTTCTGAAAAAAATTTATTAGAGTTTTCACAAAAATATAGGGAAGCATAACTGTTTTCGACATTGATAATAATAAATAAAAGACTGGAGTAATGGCTGCTAAAAATGTAGCTTTGCATCACATTAATAAATGATATTTTGAAATACATTACTATGGGAAACAGTTATTTTAAATTGTAATAATATTACTGTTTTTACTGTATTTTTGGTCAAATAAATGCAGCCTACTTTTAACCTCTTTGATTAAAAGTATAATCAAACATGCTTGTTTTACAGTCACTAAATCTCTATGGAGGGAATGAATGGATTTTTCACTTCTGGAATTCTACTATTGCTGCGCATCTGTACGACAAGTGACATTCCAGTTCCAAATGAGCCTCCGGATTCATTTCATGTCTTTAAGTAAACGGAAACAAACAGGAAGACAGAGTGGCTGGTAGTTATTATTCACATAATCCTCCGGTTAGGACACACAAACATGATTAACATGACAGCACAGTGATTTGTTTTGATTAGAATCGTCGGCCCTTGTCAACAATCATTTCCTGCGTCAATCGTCAAACAGCTCCATATTTGTCAAATTATTCCCTGTCGGCCAATCCATCTCGCAGCTACCAGACAATCACATAATTTATTTGTTTGGATACAGTCCATTATTTGATCCTCAGATTAGCTTTGCTCTCCAGCCATTAGTGCAAAGGCTTTTTTCCATTAACGAATGCTAATGAAACAATTTTTCAATTCGTGACCTTTACAGAACGCCTATGAACAAATAGGAAAAGCACTCATGATTCAATACCTCCCGCTTCAAACGGAACCTTAATCTCACTGGAACATGTCATTGTGTACAAGTAATTACCACCAACCTCGCCAAAGCAGGTGCTTCTGCCCTGGACATCAGTCAACAATCTGTTTACAATGCAGCCGGGTGATACGCAGACAGGGAGACCGAATCTGATAAAGAGAGCTGGGAAATGTAATCCTGCTTCTCTCAATGTAAACACTCACAAGACTCTACGTCAGGAGTCAAGCCTCCTATACACGTGAGCCAAAGGCCATTCAGATATTCAAGTGTATTGCTGTGGACCCTTTTCACATTGTGCTCCAGTAGCAAATTGAAAAATCCACAGTAGCGTTTCTATTACTTTCCAACAGAGAAATAAAATATCAAGAGATTGATTACGGTGGTCAGAAGAGAGAAAGATGTCAAATTTCCCATCACTACCTTAGCTGTATTAGAAAAACCCAGTTTTCTGTAATTTAATGGCAAGGTAATATAACGCAGTGTTTTTTAAACAATGGAAATACAGTAAATACAGCATCACAAACTTTTCTAGATTTGCAATGTTAATAAGCTGGGCCTAAAACTAAAAGAAGAAAAAAAAAACAGGCAGAACAAGTTTTCTTTGCTTTTTAACGTTAGACAATAGAGATTTTTATGGAAACCGCAGGGAAACTTCTCTTTTGAAATGCTTCTATTTTGTTGACACCTGATTTATGAACCATTCTCATTACAAACTTGGGAAGATTTTTGGCACGTTGCATTTTCAAATACATGTTATAAATGATTCAGGGCCCTATTTTAACGATCTAAGCGCAAGGTCTAAAGCGTGTCCGAATCCACTTTTGCTAGTTTAACGATGGGAAAAACAGTCGGCGCGCCCGGTGCATGGTCTAAAAGGGTAGTCCCTATTCTCTTAATGAGTAATGGGTGTGTTTTGGGCATAACGTGCAATAAACCAATCAGAGTCTCATTTCCCATTCCCTTTAAGAGCCAGTTGCGCTCACGCCATGGCGAATTTGCTATTTACACGGCAGAATTTGCAAGTGCAAAGACAGAACGCATCTCCAGAGAGGAAACGTATCTGCTTGTGCGCGAGCAAATAGGTAGCCTAATTCTGATACATGCAATGACTGTCCATTATGACATGTAGGCATTTTTATATTTATGTAACTTACACAATAATAATCTTTTACATTGTAATCCTTTCATTTTTAATATTTGGCATGTTTGTGTGCTGCTGCGCGTTCCTGTGTGTGTAATAAGCAGAGTGTATGCACGTTGTAACAAAATAACTACTGCGCCATTGACTTTAGACCAGGTTTTAGTTGGTCAAAGGCGCAGTCTATTTCCAGTTGCCTCAAAATAGCAACGCACCAACAATGCGTCTGAACACACCTCGTTTTCAGACCAGCACATCCATGAGCGCACAAATGGGCGCAAATGCATTTGCTATTTAAACAGCGTGGCGCAGGACATGAAAATGATAACTGCGCCGGGCTGAAACTAGCAAAAACACTTGCGTTGCGCCTGGCGCCACATTGCGCCAGATGTATGATAGAGCCCCCAAACTTACAGTGCTTATGGAAATGTAGTTTGTGTGGAGCAGCATTTAATGCAAACCACTACGAGACATTAAAAACCGTTACCATGAGCAGCTCACTTTGAAACACGCAGCGCATCAGATTACATATTTACATAATTATAACAGTCTTTGTGATATGATAGTTGTGCTAAACTATATTGCATTTTCAGGCATTGTTAGAATTACTTTAACAGGCAATTAACAGTGTTTGATGCTGATTTTTACATGCATTTGGTGCTTATCAAGTGTTAATTTTAGGCCCTGTTAATTACTGTGGAAATGCATAAGTCTGTGAAAAAGGTCCATTGTTCAAACAAAAAGCTTTTTTAAATTTCTGCACTTAATTTTCTGCAACATTTGTGCTACGGACATGAATGATGCCTCAAATCAAGCAGCTTTTTGAGGTGTGCAATTACTTTTATAAGCAATCGAAACATTTTTATTTGACAGATGATAAAAAGGCGAAAATCCTATAGACATGCGTTACCGATTTTTACCCACTACACCACAGTAAGCTCTCAGGCCGAGGTGATTTAAGATGATTGGTGTGCCGATCTTTATGAACAGAGATGTGTCGGGCTGATTATTGATTTCTCCTCAGTAAGATAATGGATGTCCAGCTTAGCTGCTGTTTTACGTCTTAAATACAGCCAGGATTGATAGCGACTGTCTCTCGACTGCCAGCGAATGGAGAACTCTTACTACCAACTGCAAAATTTAACATATACTCAAGTTTTCTCCCTCTAGCCATAGTGAAGATATAGTAAAGTCTTACTATTCTTCATTATGCTCGTGCTACACTGCAGACTCACCTTAAAGTCCTCAATCCTGTCCTGTTCTGGGCATCCTGGGCTTTCTGAGGGTCCCAGTGTACGCAAGGCTCGCTGTAAACTGCTGATGGACCACAATCCACACAGTTTACAGGGGCTTCCTTATGTCTCTGACCCCCTTCCCAAATCCGCACTGTTTTCACATGGTGGAAGGTTGACTTATGATCCAGATAGACATGAATCTGCATCATAGTCAACAGACTCCATATGGACTCTTTTTGATTAAAATCTAAGGCAACTTCACATATTAACATATTGCAAAGGATCTTTAAAAAAGCACTCCTAGGCATTTACTACAGGTTTGTAAATCGTAATTGTAATACGATTTTGGTCAGAAAAAAAACATCTAACAACAAAAGGGCAAGTATTTGAAGCTTTTTACAAAGTTAAACAAGTCTCTTTTGAAAGTAATAAGACTCAAGGGTCGGTCAGTGCAATGAGATTGAACTATCACTTTGCACGAAAAGGTTTTCTTCTGTGTTGCATCAGACAACTGTATTTATTTAGCACAGCTGTGGTCGGATCCAAAGGCCAAAATTGTGCTGGAGGTAGAATGTGCACCACTGTAAAAATAGCAGAAGACCCTTGTGCAGAGAGAGATTAAATTATTACTGGCTCACAAGAATGAGTCATTTAAAGGCTAAAACATACTCTACACAAGTACGTGAACTCAGAGACTTGAGTACAAGGGACACTATTGCAGATATTACTGTTTTCTTTTTCAGGTCCACCACTGTCATGTTTTGCTGTGCAATTTAGTTCAGATTAATTAAACTTTTAGCGTGTTTATAGCCAGCTACCTGAATAATAACACATCTATTTTGATTGCACAGCCATTTAGCAGAGTAACTCTCTTGAGTACCGGAGAACATCATGTATGCACAGCAGGACCATGCACACTTGTATAGAGTATGTTTCTGGCCTGAAGCAGCAATGTAAGCTACATAATGTGAATTAACACACACTGAGAACAGAAGAGCCAAAAGTCTTCTGGGGAAGATTGTACATGCCGCTTCTTAAATAAGAAATATTTTTCTCCTGTTCATCTTTCTCTCCTCTTCTCTCTCTAGCTCTCTCTCTCTACTCTCTCTTTCACACTAACAGTTTTCTTTAATCTTATTTGCATTCATATTACCTCACCAGGTGGTACACCAATCAGAGGTAAGAATGCTGAAAACAGAAAATATCCAAATGCGTCATCTTTCGATTCCTCTTTCACCCCGAAATGTCCACCTCCATCACTCTGTCCCCACCTTCTCTCTCATTCTGGAGTTTTTCTCTTTGTCTTCCTCCTCGTCTTCGATCCGGCCTCGTCTCTGTGCATGAACCTCTGCTCGTCTGTCTCACTAATGGACATCTGATTCAGTCTTACTGAAAATAATACATCACTATACCAAACAAAAGACAAAACAAAGATGCATCTGATCAACATTTTTTACGGGTTTCACAAAACCTGTCATAAACACATCCGTAATATTCTGCCCCAAAATCCGAAATGACATTTTGCATAAATTAAAATAACATAAAAAAATTCAAAATTATTATATTTATACAACTTACATACTTATTTGATTTTAGTTACATTATACATTATTTTTAATTTATTACATTGTGTGAATGCTTAATAGGAATAGTCACTTGTATTTTACAGGTTATATATATATATATATATATATTTCTTGCTATTCTCAGTGATGATACTCATAAAACAGTAACGAGCATCATCATTGAGAATAGCAAAAAATTATTTTAAAAATCTGTACACTATGCATGTCTGAAAACTTTACAAAAATTTGAATTTGCGGTAAATGTGAAAATAATTTCTACATTAATATCTTTATAAAAAATTATACATACTGAATTTATATTTATTTACTTTTATCTATGCTATATTATAGTATATTTTATATTATTTTTATAATATGTTATTTTGAGTATCATCATTGAGAATAGCAATAGTTTAAAAAAAAAATGCAAAAGTAAAATGTATGAATACATAACAGTAGGAATTTGGGGAATGTACTTAAGTGTCATTTTCCGCTCAACTGACCTTTACTTACTGTCCAGATAACTGACAAGCTGTCTGATCAATAACTGAGCAGAGCTGCAATGCGGCTTCGGAAATTGTGAGATACCTGGACAACATCTCATTCCCTGCAGCAGAAAAACTTAATGTCATTATGACAGTTTGTATTCAGTGAACGCCTCTCGTCTCCAGGCATTTAGCTGAAGAGAACGGCCAAACTGAAGGATAGAATGCTCACCGCTGATATGACAGGACTGATGTAGAAGGAAAGAATATCAAGATTTGACTGTAACTCTGAGTCGATCTCTTCAGAGGGAATGTCAGGGCGAGAAAGTGAGATGAGACTGACAGAGGGCAGAACAGCATCCTTCAACATCAGTCTGACACTAGCGCTTCAGATGTAATAAGTGATAGAAAGAAAAGCTGGCTTTCCTGATGACTAGAGAAGAAGAGACAGTAGATCTGTTCCAAACGCTGCTTAGCTGCATTTGAAAGTACTGTATCAAAAAGCCATTGCAAACAGCAAAATTAAAAAGATACCTAATTTTGACCAAAATCTAACATCACATTAAAAAATCAATAAGGAAGGAAGATACTGCAAGAAGTTTGAAAATTGTAATTCTAAACGTAAATAGCAATAAAATGGCAAGTTTATATTTTTTTAGCAAACAGGAATAATTTTTACCACTAGTTCAACAAAATAAAGAGCGAAACACATGCATTAAGTGTGATTTATGCTTTATCTGTATATTTTATTATTTTATTATGCCGACACAGAGGATGATGGGAAAAGTAGTTTTAAATAATTGGTGGTGTTTACTTTTAGATTTATGCTTTTTGCAGATGTTTTTATCCAAAGCAACTTGCATTGTATTTAAGCTACACGTTGATCCCAGTGTTATTTTAGAATTATATATTTAGTATCATAATTTTGAATTAGGATTTATTTTTATATTTACTGTTTTCATTATAATTTAAATGAGAAGTTTTAGCATTTTAATTTTTATTAGTTCTTTTATATGTCTATATAGTTTTCATTAATTTTTAGTTTTAATTTGAGTTATTTTTTATTACTTTAAACAAAAATGATAAATGTTGCCTTGGCAACTAACTAAATTAAAAATTGTAAAGTTTAAATTAAATATAAATAAAAGTGTATATTTTATTTTACTTCAGGTAATGTTTATTTTATTTCAAGAATTGACTTTATTTATAGTTTTAGTTTTAGTTAAAGATAATAATCCTGGATCTTTAAATAGACGCTTTTACAGCTCACATGTGTTTGGAACAGATCTCATATGAGTGTGTTTGTGTTTATGTGTGCTGTAAGTGTTTTAAAGAGTCATTCTTCTGAGTAATCCACTCGTGGAGCGAGGTTAATGCTTAGGTCTCATGCACTCACAGTCTTTCGATTATGTTTCTATTGTTACTGCACACGTTCAAACCCATCCCATAATGCATTTCAGGAATACTTCTGAAATACACGTTGACAACATTTTTAGTTCTCTCGGTGTGCTTCCATCATCCACAGATTGCATGATGTATGTCACATCACGCAAACAAACAGCACTGCCATACTAAAATACCTAATGAGCTAATGATTTTTGTGAAAACAAAATGTATATGAACTTTTTGTGTTAATTTATGTGTTATCAACAGAAGGCCAAATCTAGGTAAGTGACATTGAAAAGATGGAGATAATGAACTGCAAAAACTTTAACATATTGCTGTCAGAAAAAAACAACCTTTTAGTTTTAGTCCACCTGGATTTGCTTTTGTTTACAGAATTTCTTGTCAGTGGATGCATTGAGGATGTATTGACAGTAATTGAATCGGCTGTATTATGTCTTGTATTATGACTTTGTCTCAGCTCGCAGAATAGCAGAGCTTATGTACAGTGACGTTTATAGCTGACATAGCCTGCAGGTCTTTTTACTTGCCACATTGAATAAATAACTCAGTTTGCTTTAGATTTATTGAATAATTTAGTGAAAGATGTTGCTCTTTTCTTTCAGTGTTTAGTGAGACGAGAAAGGTCATATGCCAGCCGAGTGTTAGTCAGTGTGTATGTGTTGTTTAGGCAGAAAAATATATATTTTCCTCAGGCCGCCCTCGTTTAAAGCGGAGGTTGAGATTGTTTGTGAGTGTGTGAGAGAGCGTTTGTGATTGCGTGTGTTGTGTTTGCAGGGGCTCTGCAGATCGAGAACAGCGAGGAATCGGACCAGGGCAAGTATGAGTGTGTGGCGGAGACAGACAAACATGTAATTTTACTGTAAAATACTTGTAGTGAAAAATATGATGCACCTTATAATTTACATTTTTAAAAATCCAACTTGTATTTTTAGGCAATATGTGTATTTTTACTGAATTTATTTTATTATTTTATTTATTTATTTTTGTTACAATTGTTCTTTTGTATTAAAATATTTTAGAACATATATTGCCAATAATATGAACATTTTGAGCAAACAAACCTTTGAATCAGTGGATTGTTAAATCTTGATTCAGTTATTTGAAATTAACAGTTTGAAAGAAGTGATTCACTTAAATTAGTCAAACTTATTTACTGTGAAATTACAACTTTATCTGTACAACTAATATACTTTTAAAAAGCTTTTAGATTCAAGATTATTGTAGTTGATTTAGTTGTTACATTGATTATTGTGTGGCGGTGAACAGCGCAGGAACACGCTACTCCGCTCCTGCCAACCTCTACGTCAGAGGTAAGATCTGCAACCAAATCCAAATCCCCATCCCGTTTCACCTCGATCTGCTTTCCATACAGGCTTTACCACAGTCAGAACAGGACCTGTCACTCAAAAGCTCACATTTCTCTTTAATCACTCTTTTGTCTTAACACAGTTCTGCAGCGGAGAACTGCTCCATTGTTTTCCAATTTTGAATAATCACGAAATGTTTTCCACACAGCTTTTCACTAAATGAATATTTAATTGGTGGTTATTTTATTTTGTTTTATTTTTTTATAAATAGTAATGCATAGTAAACAGTATTTGCCTAAACATATATTTACTTCTTTGTATCATATTTACCACACACTTCTACCACAGTAGAACATAACTTGCTAAAAATGTATACATTACTATATATATATATATACAGTGGGTACGGAAAGTATTCAGACCCCCTTAAATTTTTCACTCTTTGT